CCAGGAGCTCTCTGAGGAGGCAAGAAGCTGGACCTGAAGGCCATTTCTTTAAGGACTTATAGGCCTTTACCTATTCAACTTCTGATCCTCATCTCAGGCAGACATATGAGATTGATGGAGGAAAAAAATGCCTTCTGCAGAGACAAAGCATTTCCATGTTTTTACCATTTTCCCCATATTTAGGCAAAGACCAAGGTGTAGGATCACAGTTAAGGGGAAAAATGTTTGGATATATACATTGATAAGACCAAGGGGAAAATACAAATAAATTAGATAGCACGCAGAAACAAAGTAAGGTAATTACCATATTGAGCTAGAAAGGGAGTCAGGCAGTGGCCACGCCAACATCTCTGAGTGCAACCAGCCACACGGATATTCAAGCATTGTCTTGCACCGTATACTAGTTGTTTTATGTGTATTGATTTAATCTTCCAGACTGGAAGCACCTGAGGGCCAGGCCTTCTCTCCTGCTGCTTGTTTCCTCTCTCGTGCTGAGCCAAAGTGAAGGTTTAATATTCAAATTGTATTAAATACTTAATAGCTGACAGACTAAAACAGACTAACAGAAAATCAACTCTGCATAGTAAGATCAATGTATCTTAAATGTGATAAATTTTAAAAAATCATTATAACCAACATTTTATGCTGATAAGATGAATGTTGAAATTCATTGAGGCTGTGGCCATGATTAATTACAAGTTTAATCATGCATTTTAGGGTAAACCTATTTCCTTAACATCTATTTTCTATTAAATTACGTGCACTATGCTAATGTTAGGGGCCAAAGTAATTTCTTGGCTGATGAAATCTTTTGGGTTTGATTTTTTTAAAAAGTTACTTTGACAACTTAACAACACTATAAAATAAAATGAATAAGAACTAGCAAAATGTTTTCAGGACTATGACAACATAATCAGAGCATAGTGTCTAAAATTATGAAAGAAAATATTCTCAAATATTGTTTTATGAATTTCGTGATGCATAATAAAGGAAAAACCTCTATCTCATTCACTATGCATTTTAATTTTATTCTACTGTGATAATGAAGGGATGCCAGATATTTATTCCAAAAAGAAAACTCTCCAAACATGCATCAAGCAAATGTAATGTCTGTAGCCTCTATTTTAATCTCATAGCTAATTCAGAAAGTCAATAAAAAATGTAAAGGAATATGGCATTTACCTTGTAATTAAAGGTCACCTAACATGCAAAATGTCAATGGTAGAGTGATGCCCCCAAGTGGCAAAATGGTAAATTGCAACAGTTTGATGGAAAAGTTAAGTACCATGTACATACAGCTGTTCCCTTTTGTCAAGTTCTTTGATTAAATCTAGAAATGCATATAATGAATCTGTATTTCATAGGAACTAGTCATAAGTCCTACAGACTTTATGGTCTACCCTAGTCATTACTTTAACACTGATACCAAGGGATAGTCTAATATTTTCCTTATGAGCTCAAAAAGTTAGGGGTGTATCTGCAAAACAAAAAGGGAAGTCAGATGTATTCTGACGCGTTAAGGGAACAGCATTTAGACCATTAACATTAGCCAATTCCCCATGTTTGTGGTCTAGTATGTAAAGCAGAATTTAAAACCTTATCTAGTCAAATTGCTTGGACAACGATTAGTGCTAATAACAAGCTTTGCTCACAAACTAAAGGTTGAAGTATCAACACGCACACACACTCACACGCGCACACACACACACACACACACAAAAGTTTAGTTTCCTGCCTCCATATATGTACTAAACATAACAATCACTGATGAGTTGATATCTTAGCTAAAAGGTTCACATTCTGAGAACCAATTTATTTTGAACAGCCATAGAGACATAAAAGATGACAACAGAATTGTTACAATCTCAAGAAACACCCTTGAATACATTTTTAAAATTACATGCCTGGTTTCAGATTGCTTGATTTGGGAGATTTTTCTCACTTAAAAGTAATTCCAAAAAAAAAAAAAAACAACCTTCCATTTATTAGAAGTATCCAGTTGCAGTAATTGGGTGGTAATTAGCTAGTTTTGTTAGGCTTCCTTTGATTATTCCTTTAACTTGCATTATTTATGATTAAGGTGAATCTGTGCTGTTTTTGAAGGATAATTATGAGCAAGGCAATGTGATGTCTAAATCTTACATGAATAGGCAGATATTCTATTCTTATTACAATCCTATGAAGTATTATACCCATTTTAAAGATGAGAAAACCAAAGCTCAGATTAGAATGTGCATAATCTAGACATCACATTAAGAACAGGGCTGGCTTTACTCCCTGACTTGTTTATATACAAAGCTGGGATTTTAACAATGACACCATTTTGTGAGTAGTCACATTTGTACTCTTTCTGATTTTGGCAAATGATTCCAAAAGCAAATGTCTACAAAGGTCAGTAGGTAGTGGAAAGGTGATACAGATGTATGCAAGAGAGAGTGAGGAGAGGTAGGAATGTGGCTAACTGGAGAATATAGAATTTGTCTAAAGGAGTAGCTATTACTTAGCTTTAGCAGCCCATTGTGGCTACATAGGCACTCATGTAAGCAAACATTGCCAAATCTTTTTTTTTTTTTTTCCCTAGAGAAAAGGAAATGCTTGATTTGTATGAGCTCCTCATTTTAAAATACTGACTCCTGGCTGGGTGCAGTGGCCCATGCCTGTAATCCTAGTACTTTGGGAGGCTGAGGCAGGAGGATTACCTGAGGTCAAGAGTTCAAGATCAGCCTGGCCAACATGGTGAAACCCTGTCTGTACTAAAAATACAAAAGTTAGCCAGATGTGGTAGTGCACACCTGTAATGTCAGCTACATGGGAGGCTGAGGCGGGAGAATCACTTGAACCTGGGAGGTGGAGGTTGTAGTGAGCCAAGATCGTGCCACTGCACTCCAGCCTGGGTAACAGGCTCCATCTCAATAAATAAATAAATAAATAAATAACAAAACTAACTACTAAAGAAACATTACCCAGGTGGAACAAAACACATCTGAAAGCCAAATGTGGCCAGTATGCAATACGTTTTAGATTCTAATGATGAATGATTCCTTTCCCAGAGATTCTGGACTAGACCTTCTGGTGCCAAATGATTTTTGTCCGTTATCCTCACCATTAGATTCGTTCCACAAACATAGACTCTGTCTGCCATCTTCAGCTCTAGTCACGTGTTTTAAGATTTGTTCAGGTACAAGAAAGATCACTAACAAATCACTAACCAACCAACCAGCCCCAGCACCACTGTTTCTCTCTCATTCTCTCTCTCCCTCTCTCTCTCCTCCCCACTGACTACAAACACACTGTCTCCATTCATTCATTATCTCAAGTCTAGGGTTTCAAGTCTGATTTTCATACATTTTATTTAACATCGTTTTAATAGACTTTTTAGTTCTTCTGTGAATCATCTTAAAATTTTTCACATTCCTCATTAGTTGAAGAAACCAAAATTGAGTATGATCTGTCAGCGTAGCTTTTAGAAGTATTGAGCTGGTTTAGGTCTCACTCTCAATGTTTCCATAAAGGCTCTCTAGTAATTGTCAGAAATTTATCATCCTATTCTAAATGGCTAGAAGAGTACCTCTAGGATGATAGGGAAAAAATCCTTCTCAGTTAGGAGTCATAATGCATGTTCTAAGGACCTCAGAAAAATGCCAGCTCTTTTATCATTCCTCGTGTAGAAATTGACTAAAAACTAGAAATTCTAGGTAATTGCAACTTTTAAAAATTCTGGACAAAGACCATCTAAAAGGTTGATTTTTAAAACAAAGTAGTAACATCACTAACATTTAACTTTACAATTCCTAGTACATAAGAAGATGTAGAAAAGTGTTTATCACACTGATTTTAAATCCATTCTTAAATATCCAGTGGACAAAAGCTGGAAGAAGTTAGAGTAGCCTTAAAACCTCTGAAGAAAACAATATATTATGGGATGAAAATGTGGTCTTCTGGGGTTAAGGGCTGATATCTTGGATCATTCTTCCTTCTGCTTTCTCTTCCACCCGTATTTGTGATATGCAAGTTTCTTATCCTAACTTCAATTCCAACTTTCTTTCCACTGCAGCAAACTTTTAAAAAAACTTTATGCCAAAAATGCAGGTTTATCTGTAAAGGAGGTACTGTCTTTTAAGAGTTGTTCTCTAGTATGGAAGTGTATAGGGTCTGATCATAATCAAAAGAGAGGGGTAACAAGGGGGTCATCAATATAAGCTAATTTTCAATGGGTGTGCCCATTTGGTTTAAGTATTTAATCTGAGGGCTTTCTCAGATTAAACGGAATTTGAAAATCTCTCCCATGGAAAGCCTAAAGAAAATTAATACCCTATTCATCTCAAATGTGAATAACTGTTTATTTGCGTTTTGTAACATTTCTAAAAATAGTCATTATGAACAATTCTTATTTTCTCACTCAAGAAGTTCCAGTCAAGTTAAGTGGAAGCAATACTGTTATTGACTGTGGCATGGCCAAACATCTTATTTTCACATAATCTATCCCATTTCCCTTCTCTAAGTAATTTGGATACTTTATTCACCTGCTAAAATGTCTTTAAACCTAGTATGAAAGATTAATCAGGGAGCATTCCTATCTTTACAAAATACTTGCTGTAATATAAAGAGCAAAGTGGACATTGCTCCGTGCTTTTTTTGTTTTTTAAACAGAGTCTTGCTCTGTCATCCAGGCTGCAGTACAGTGGATCTCGGCTCACTGTAACCTCCACCTCCAGGGTTTAAGTGATTCTTGTGCCTCAGCCTCCCCAACAGCTGAGATTACAGGCATGCACCACCCTGCTTGGCTAATTTTTGTATTTTTAGTAGAGACAGGGTTTCACCATGTTGGCCAGGCTGGTCTTGAACTCCTGACCTCAAGTGATCCACCCACCTTGGCCTCCCAAAGTGCTGGGATTATAAGCATGAGCCACCACGCCTGGCCTGCTTCATGTTCTTAATCAGCTAAGACCTGCAAACAAAAAGCAACCTACTCAAGATTCGTAAGAAGAATTTTTACTTACAGTTCCTCTCCTTCTTTGGCTTTCTTGTCTGAAACCAGATAGACAGTTCCAAAACTTCCACTGCCAAGTTTCTGTTGAAGCACATATCTTCTCGCAATCAAGGTGTTTGGATAAGTGGAAATGGCTGTTGATCCACTCACACACTTAGCTGCCTCTTGGAATTTCAGCATTGCTCTAAACAAGAGAGAATTGGTTCATTCGTTTATAGAAACAACATTCAGCTCTCCTAAGAAATGGTCAGATTCATCCAGTGTTGGTCAATGCCTTAAAGATGAAAAGTTCAAAGATCAGGTCTAAAAGATGCTAGATGATTCCTAAGACAAAGTGTAAGTTTCGACAGTGATATCTGCACCTTGATCAGCAGACTGACTGAATGACACCATATTGGTTAACGACTTGAAAGAAAAATGTTAAAAGGTAGAGATACCACAGATTCTAGTAGAAGGCAGTCTTTCACAGGAAGAGCCTCCCTTTGTACATTGAAATTTGGCAGAACTGAATTACAGCCACCTTTCTACAAATTTCTGGGATGTATATCTGTTTTACAATCAATAATCTCTTCATTTATTTAAGATTTATACTCCCCACCTACTTATAAAATAATCAAAATAAAAGAGCATTATCACTTCCTTAAATCTAGATATCTGCATCCACCTTTTTGCAATGCCCTCTTCCCACCTTATGGTTACTTTGGTTTACAAAGAGGATTAAACCACGAATTATCAGATGCTGTTTCCTTTAGATTTCCTTTTTTTCTGTAGATGTTAAACCACAGTTTTTGCATTTATTAGAATAGTTACAAAGAGGGAGAATGATTCAGAGGGAATTTTTTCCCATGCTTAGCAAATTCTAACCTAGTTTCTGATTTTGTTATTGTACACATTGTGTACAATCTCTCTGGATTAAAAACAGGAAGAGTTACAAATTCAATTTAAACCTAAAATTGCCTTTAATGTCAGTGGAATATAAATGTTACAGATAATCTGTAATTCCTCAGGAAGCTATGAGATGTGGCAGTTATGAGAGGCAGGACTGTTTCGTATGTGTAGATACAAAGTCAAGTCACTTTCATTTCATCAGAATGTTAAATGTTTTCATAGCTATCATGAAAAGTGTGCTTTTAAAAAAATCTATATAGAAGTACAATTTTAAATTGAAAATTGTCTACACATTGGAGTTAGGTTTTCACATTCAACAATTCAAAACCTAGAAGACAAAAACCTATTGTTTTAAGGATGGCCAATGGGCTTTACATGGTGGTATCAGTTAACCACAAAAACTATGAGAGCAATTAACCACAAAAACCCTCAAAATATTGGTAAATGCTCATTTACAACATTTTCCTTCTTAAAAATGTAATCAGTTAAGTTGTAACTGATACCAGTGAGATATTACCAGCTTTTTTCTTCCCCCCTTCCAAAAACATGTTAATAAAATCTGTTGAAAAAACAACCAGAGAACAGGCCTCTGTACCTTTTGTTTGCTTCCCCTTCACTGTTATAAAAGTGATGCCATCTGGCCATACGAAGCTGTTCAAATAAGTCTTTCCAACTGAAAAGGGTCCTTTGGGTCACTCAGTAATTCTCATTTTAAAGATGAGATTAAGGTTTCCTTTAGGGACGGACAGAATAGTTATGCGAGGTTCACTTCTGGCTGCTCCTATTTGTCAAGGACAGTCTAAACCCAGCAGTGCTTAAGCAGTCTGGCCCAGGCTGCAGAATACTCTGCAACTAGGTTCCCTCCGCCCAACTTCACAGACTCAGCCCTGCCCCCGCATCCCAGTCCAGTTTTAGGCCATCCATCCACTAGTCTCCTCTGTGCAACCACAGACCTACCCAAGAATGTGTCGCACTGTCTAGATTCTAGAACTATCTGTTCACTTGACAACACCATCCCCCTCGAGGTTTGTGAATGAACTTGGGCACTGAGAACACATCTCCTTTATCTCTGCATCCCCAATGCCCGGCATAATGCCTGGCATATACTAGGTGTTTAATAAACCTTGTTAGGGCAACTAAGTGTTCAGCAGATCCACTGACGTCCAAAGGAGGGAAAAAATGTTGGTTAAGAAAGCTAGACGGGAACTTGGAGAAAGTTACCACCTTATGCAAACTACCCCTTCTCGGTGAAACGCATCTGGTTGGGTGCAAAAGACAACCAAAGGGGGAGTCGTTATCACAAGATGAAAACCAGTCGTTATCTTCCCAGGTAATAACAGGAAGACAATTTGTCACCAGGTTCTGCTCAAGTAGAAATCTTAAAGATAACCCTTAATCTTAAGGTAAAACGAACAATTTCTTGCTTCTTCACCTTTTTAAACATTGGCATTTTCGCAAAGCGCATTAACGTTTATTGAGGAGCCCCGAGACTGGAGTAGACCCGGAGATAAGGTGTCCAGGACAGGGAGGAGATCGCAGCCATGGAGTCCTAGAGCTTCGGAACCCAGCCTGGGAAGGCTGCAACCATCACCTTCCCCCTCGCAGGGGAGCCCGGCGAGCCCCGAAGAGTACAGCTCTCTTTACCTTTCCCTGTTGTGGTCAGAGGAGCGGCGGCGCCCGGGGCCAGCCCAAGCCTTGCCGGTCATCCGGCAGGCCTCAAGCTAGGGGCAACCGCACCCACCGAGCGTCAGACACCGCGAGCTACCGCTGTTTGGCACCGTCGCCCGGGAGACTGCGCGGGGCATACTGGGAAGTCGGGGCGAGGCGGCACCAATGCGGAAGTGGAGAAAGTGAGACGGAGGAAGGAGAGAAGGACCGGCAGAAGCCTCTCTAGTCTGACAGCAGCCATTTCGGAACGCCTGTCCCAGCCCCCTTTAGCTTCTTAGCGCCTCCGGGCCCAACAGCACCTGCCCCTTGGCGCAGTCTGGAGCCACCGGCTTCACGGAACTGTACTTCCCAAGACGTCACACTAAGAGACTTCCTGTTCCCGCTGTGGCGCCGGGACTCTCACATGCAGCAACGAGTCGGGCTTCGGATGGAGGAGCTGCTCCTCTGGGAGGGCAGAGCAGGTGGGCTCTGCTGCAGGTCCGGGCGGCGGGTGGGGAGGGCCGAGGTGGCACGGGGTATGAAGGCCTGTGTTTGCAGACTTAGGTCAAACCTTTTGCCCGCCTTTCCCCTAGGCAGCTAGCATTTGTTGAACTGCGTGCAAGGCCCTGTAATTTGCATAGAACACGTTGACAGGGCCTCTGCTTATGAACGCTTTGCAAGACTGTCTTGCAAAAAAAAAATAAGTACTATACAGGATAAGGTTCTGAGATACAGACTAGGGTGAGGTAATTGTAAAATGTAAATGGATCCCAATAAAATTCAAGAATCGAGATACGTTTTAATGCACTATCTCTAAAAATCGAAATTATTGCAAAAAGTTTATGACCGACAAAATGTCATGATTTTAAGTAATAGTAACAGTATCGTGCCGCACCATATTGAAGCCCGAGGCAACAAAAGAAAAACCATCAATACTGATCCTGTGAGTTAAGTTAGCCAGAGAAGGAAGAGTGACTGGGCCAGATATGCAAAATAAGATGATGAAAAGCGCCGTGGTTAGGAGTGTAACTGGATAGAGGGGTTCCTAGAGGCACAAAGCAGTTTTCCTTATACCAAAAAACTGTGGTTTTTCAAGCCCAAAGCCTGAAAGAAGGTCCGTGACTGTCAATAAAAAATAAAAACTTGATCCCTGTGATAGGTCCTACACATCTTACGTTACTGACGTCCAAATGCGCTGTAATTTTGAAATGAATAATTCTATCATTTTTATAGCTTAGGACTTTTTACTTTGACCCCACAACTCTGCGTTTTAAGATGTTGACTGTTGTCTACTTCAGAATCACAGTCCACAGAACTTCTATATTGCTGTGCCAGTAATGGACTTTAACTGATTTTTCTTTAGAATTAGCAGCAGCCTCTGTCACCATCCAAAGATCACAACCCATGAAACCCCTGAGTTTGTGCCTTGTAACAGAAAGCAAAGGAGAAAGAAAAGGCACACAGCTAACATTGCTTGAGGATCTAGGTAAGAATTCATGGATACTGACATCTATCTTCTATGTCTAAAGAGCACTTCATAACATTTGCTATTGATTTAATGGTGCTGGAAGCAATGACTTGGTGCCCCTTAACCAGCATTAACTGAAAACGCCTTCTGTTGTTTTAAACAGGCGATTAATTCTTTAGACTGTCATCATGGGTATCCGAGGACTAATGAGTTTTGTGGAAGATCATAGTAATGAGTTCTTCACTGGTTTGAAGTTGCGGGACACAAAAATTGTCATTGATGGCTATGCTCTTTTCCACCGTCTTTGCTTCACTTCGAACTTGGAGCTCCGGCGTGGAGGGGACTATGATTCCTTTGCAGATGTAGTACAAAACTTCTTTGAATCACTATTTGCTTGTAATATATGCCCATATGTTATATTAGATGGAGGATGTGACATTTCAGATAAAAAGCTTGCAACTATAAAGGACAGAGCTAGAGAGAAGATCCAGACGGCCCATTCCCTTTCTGTTGGTGGGAGTGGGTATGTGTGCCCTTTACTCATCCGGGAAGTATTCATACAGGTTTTGATCAAGCTGCGGGTCCCTTTTGTCCAGTGCTTTTCAGAAGCGGATCGGGACATCATGACACTTGCTAACCATTGGAATTGCCCTGTGTTATCGTCAGATAGTGACTTCTGCATTTTTGACTTGAAAACTGGGTTTTGCCCATTGAATAGCTTTCAGTGGAGAAATATGAACACTATTAAGGGCACACGAAACTATATCCCTGCCAAATGCTTTTCCCTTGATGCGTTCTGCCATCACTTCAGCAATATGAATAAAGATCTTTTACCTCTCTTTGCGGTGCTATGTGGAAATGACCATATTAATCTACCTATCATGGAGACATTCTTAAGTAAAGCACGTCTTCCTCTTGGAGCTACCAGTTCTAAAGGGAGGAGACACCACCGAGTCCTGGGACTTCTGAATTGGTTGTCTCATTTTGCCAACCCTACCGAAGCACTAGATAATGTTCTGAAATGCCTCCCAAAAAAGGATCGAGAAAATGTTAAGGAACTTCTCTGCTGTTCCATGGAAGAATACCAGCAGTCCCAGGTGAAGCTGCATGACTTCTTCCAGTATGGTACTTACGTCTGTCCAGATGCCTTGCATCTTGGTTTACCAGAATGGGTACTAGTGGCTTTAGCTAAAGGCCAGCTGTCGCCTTTCATCAGTGATGCTTTGGTCTTAAAACGGACCATTCTTCACACACAGGTGGAAAACATGCAGCAACCAAATGCCCACAGATTATCTCGGCCCATCAGGCAGATCATCTATGGGCTTCTTTTAAATGCTTCACCACGTCTGGAAAAGACATCCGGGAATGCGTTGCCTTCTCGGCCTCTAGCTTTCAGTGAAGTGGAAAGGATTAATAAAAATATCAAAACCTCAATCGTTGATGCAGTAGAACTGCCCAAAGATCATTCTGACTTAAGCAAATTGACTGAGGTAAGTATTTGTAATACTTTTTGTAAAGCACTTTACAGGTTACAAAGTGCTGTCTTGTATATTATCTCTCTTACTATAACAGACTGATGAGGTTCAGTGCTATCTTGCTGTCATTTCATAGCTAAGAAATCAAGAACTTGAGTGAACTAGGTAATCTCTTAGCCGGAGTGTGTCAGTGCTAGGACTCAAACCCAGCTCTTTCAGCTCTAAATCTACCATTTCCATTGTGCTACAGTAGTCTGTGTTATCTTCCCAGTTATTACTACTATATTATTATTACTACTATATTATCACTAGCTATCAGTAGAATGGAGTTACATGGCTGGAAAAAAAATTCTGAACTGCAAAAAAAAAAAAAGTGTGTATAGACACTGGTCATAGGCATCACATCTCAGACTATATCAGATTTCAAATAAGGTTAGTACTGATACTAAGGTCTAATTTTTTAACTTTTATTAATGAAGACCTTTTTAAAAATAGGTTTTTGTGTCATTATGGTTATTTGCTTAGTTTGATACTGAAAACATGACTCTTAGCCTAACTCAGTGTTGCTTAAACCTAAGTAACACTCAGACCAGTCACCTTTTCAAGGACAAAAAAATTCTCATGGATCCCAGTGTTGTCTTTTTATATTATATAAACATAGTTAAAATTACAAATAGATATAAAACTATGCTGATAAAAAAAACTAGATTTACAAATTAAATACAGATAACTTTTAAAAAATTGCAGTGCCCATTAGGGAGTTTCCTTAGATCCACTGAAATACTCAGTCTCCTAAGACTCACAGGCCACACGTGGCACCAGTCTACTCAAGGATGTAAGACAGCCGCCACAGCTTACCAGCAGGTTTAGGCCAGGCCTGCCTTTTCTGTCAGAGTTCTCCCAGCACTGTTACCACTCTACACCAAAGGTTTACCACCATTGGTGATTCTGTCCCCCAGAGGACATTTGGCAACGCCTGGAGACATTTTTATTGTCACTACCTAGAGAGTAGAAGGGGTGGTGGTTGCTCTTGGTATCTAGTGGGGAGAGGCCAAAGATGCTGCTAAATTTTACAATCTGTAGGTCTTACAGTACTCAGGAAAGTACCCTGTAACAAAGAATCTCTAGCCCAAAATGTCAGTAGTGCGAATCCCTGGCCTATACAGTTGACCAGGAACTAGCCTCTTAGCCTCCCCATCAGTCACGTCTCCGGCAGGAGATGAACTTCATAGCGAATGAGTGCAAGAGCCTTCTTGGCATTGAGGGGTGACTGTTAAGCCCCCAGGGTTTCTTTTCAGGGACGGTGAAGAAAATGTTTTGGAATTAGTGATGGCTGTACACATTTATAAGTATACTAAACCAAGGCATGGTGGCTCAGGCCTGTAAGCCCAGCACTTTGGGAGGCCAAGGTGGGAGGATCACTTGAGGCTAGTAGTTCAAGACCATCCTGGGCAACACAAGAATCTGTCTCTACAAAAAAAAAAAAAAAAAAAAAAATGCCAGGCATGGTGGTACAGGCCAATAGACTCAGTTACTCAAGAGGCTGAGGTGGGAGGATTGCTTGAACCCAGGAAGTCAAGCCTGGATATGAGCTATGATTGTGCTGTCTGTTGAGCAAGACCCTGTCTCTAAAATATATATATATACACTAAACCCACTAAATTGTATACTTTACAAGGTTGACTTTTATGACATATGAATTATATATCTGTTAAAGGGGAAAAAAAAAAGGTTTCACTGGCTTAAAAACCTCCTTCTCTGTAGGATCCAGTCTTTCTTATAGTAATTCCATAAACATAGCTAGGTCCCTGCAAAGGACATCCTACTTACAGCACACTACACTCAGGGGAGCCCAAGACATGCTGTCCCCAAGATACGGTATCCCCATCAGATGTTTATAGTTCATTTATTTATAGTTTAAGGTTAAATGCAATTTTATAAGTCATTTTTATAATTCTTGGTAACACAACTGACAATCTACCTTTAGCACATTTCCAGGGGTACAAAACTAGAAAGTGGAGCATAGGTCTAATTCTCGAGCAAGAGATTTACTAATATTTTACCCACACCAAAAAAAATTTGTTTGCTACATTCTTAATGTTTTGCTGAAGTTACATTTCTAAAACTCAAACATAAATGGTGATGTTGGAGAAGATTAAAAACTTTTTAATGGCTTTACTGAGAAAATAAGTAATTTACAGCGAGGTGCACATAAAGTATGCACTTTGATGAGTTTTGACATGTCTGTATCTGTGAAGTCATCCTACAATTAAAATAATGAATGTATCCATAACCCCTAAAGTTTCATCTTGTTCCTTTGCAATTAATGCCTCCTGTGTATAAACATAGTAAAGTGCACAAATTATTGTACAGCTTGATACATTTTGGCAAGGTCTATACATCCATGCAAAGAGCATCCAGATGAATAATCACCACCCTAGGTTACCCAAATGTCTGGTTCCAGTCACTCACTCTGCAACTCCCTATAATTGCTATCGTGACGTTTAACAACACGGAATAGTTTTAGCTGAATTTTTACTTTAGAAATGAATTCTTTCATCTGCGTTTATTCCACCTGAGATTCAGTAACATTGCTGTGAGTAGCTGATCATTCATTTCCCGTTGCTGTAACATTATTCTATTTTGATATATTACCATTTTACACTTATGAGCATTTTTCTTTCCATTGTACAGCTTATGAGCATTTGGGTTCTTTCCAATTCTCCATTTCCATGTGTTCGCTGGCCATTTGATACTCTGTTAGGTGAAGTTTCTGTACAGTTTTTTGCTCATTTTTATTACCATATATGGGTCCTTTGTCAAATCGCATTGTGAATAGTCTCTCCCATTGTTTATTCACTCTTTAGTATGTTTTGATGAACAGACGTTCTTAATATACTGTAATTTCAATTTTTATTATTTATGGTTACCACTTTTGTGAACTGCTTAAGAAATTGCCTCCTCCAGGGTCATGAAAATGTTTTTTTGCCATTCACATTTAGCATTTAGATCTGTAACTTATCTAGAATTGATTTTTTGTGTATGCGTATGGTATGAAATAGGGATCAGGACACTTTTTCCCCCATATGGAAATCCAACCAAATCAATGAGTTTAGCAAGCTGTTACATTCCTTGCTAAGTGGAGATGACTTAAGTGTTCTCATCATTTACCTGGATTCAAAATAGGGTGAATTTTAGTTCACTGTCCGTGCTGTGCTATCACCCAGCTTTCTCTCGGCATAAACAAATCAATTCTGAATTTAGCTCAGTGCTAATGGTTCTAATTGGCCCATGAAAATTAAAAATGTATCAGGTAATATTGTGATTCCAAACACAAATGCAGGTACAAGTATAGAAACTTTGTGATACTACCTATCCATTTTGTTTTTAACATCATGTTTTAATACATTATCTGCTTTAGGCAGCTGTTAATAAAAACTTCAGTCTCTCATTTAATTCCCACAATAACGACATAGGATAGGGTTTCATTTTGGTTATGGCAATGGACAGAGCAGCACTCAAGTTAACCAATAGGAAGATAATCATAAGGAGACACAGAAGTGAATCATTCTTAGGGAGTGAGGCAGCCAACACCAGTCTCTCTGGGCATCACTGCCTCTCTGGGCAGCTGCTTCTGCAGGCTTGTGCTTTCGCTCCCTCTGGGGAAGAAGCAAAGGAGTTGTCACATGGGATAAAACCTAACTAACTTTAAGGGCTATGAATTGAGTACTTGCCCTTTTGGAAGGGACTGAGAACTGCTGGGTTTGATGAAACATCTTGTGCAAGTCATTATAATGACCATTTGACAGCTAAGACTGTAGAATAAAGGTTGGAAACCTTTCAACCAAGGCCATAGGGTTAGTGCAGGGCAGAACATCTCTGAAGTCAAAGCCCAGGCCGTGTTGGTTATGAAAAGTTGTAACTTGGCTCTGTAATTCAGTAACTTCAATATTATATATCAGAAAAGAATTGGTGTATTTTCTTAGCTCTACTTAGTGCATTTTGAAAACCAGTTTAAGAGTTCAGTTTCCGGGCTGGGCGCGATGGCTTACACCTGTAATCCCAGCACTTTGGGAGGCTGAGGCAGGTGGATCATGAGGTCAGCAGTTTGAGACCAGCCTGACCAACATGGTGAAACCCCGGCTCTACTAAAAATACAAAAGTTAGCTAGGTGTGGTGGCACATACCTGTAATCTCAGCTACTCAGGAGGCTGAGGCAGGAGAATCGTTTGAACCTGGGAGGGGGAGGTTGCAGTGAGCCAAGATCACACCAGTGCACTCCAGCCTGGGTGACACAGCGAGACTCCGAGAGTTGTTTCTATTTTAAGTAGTTAAAACTACTTCGAGTAGGGGTGACTGGTTATACTATAAAGCACTTTGTGTATTTCTTAGTTTTAAAATTTTTATCACAATATTACTAAAAGCAGTATTTAGAAGTAATCATACTATTTAAAGTTTTCATGCGTTATGATAAAACTATTTTGTCATTTATGATATGTTTTGTTTCAGGTTAGCATCTCTAGTCTCAGCTGTCAACCATGCTTTCTACTAACTAGACGTTACATGCTGAGAAATGTACCACCATCTCATCTTTCCAGAAAGCAGTTTCTGGCTGTGTGCAGACCCTAGAAATACAAGTTTGTTTTTTTTTTTTTTTTTTTTTTTTTTCTCAAAGTTTGATTATAAAGTCCCCCAGAAGATGCCCTTTTAATAGTCCTATGAGTGCATGACCTGTAAGGTCCCTTCTGGGGCTGTTAGTTAAAATGCATATTCCTGGGCTCTCCCTCAGATTATAGTGAATCAAAACTTATGGAGTAGAGCCTGAGGACTGAATTTTTAACAAGCTTCCCAGGTGACACGTGCACTGAAGATGCTCAGCAGAGGACAGAATGACGTAAGCAAAGCTTGTGTAGGAGTAGGCAGTACACCATTCAACCAACCATGTTTATAAAGCATCTTAGTAATGTTCTAAGTGTTTTTTGAGTGTGGCTGATTTTTCTTTCCCCCCACAAGATAAGTTTTAACAGCTGACACAGAAGTGTCATCTGCATTAAATCTCTTCATGCTATGGAGAAAAAGAAAAGGACATTTCCCAAAGTAACTTGCAGGATGCTTGGCGTGTATTTTCAGCTCTCCTTGAGGAGACGGCAGATGCTTCTGTTAGAAACCCTGAAGGTGAAACAGACCGTCCTGGAGCCAATCCCTGCTTCACTGAAGTTGCCCATTGCCGTCAGTTGCTACTGGTTGCAGCACACGGACAGCAAAGCAAAGCTACATCATCTACAATCCTTACTGCTGGCAATGCTAGTGGGGCCCTTGATGACCATAATCAACAGCCCTGGTAGGTAACTGGAAATTCCAGGAATATATTGTTGCATGTTGCTTGCAAACTGTTTACTCAAGAGTTTACACAAAACAAAAAAGTATTCTTGGATTATTTACTTCCATTAATTATATTAGAACTTAGAAGTAGAGGTACCAATATATCATTCATTCGTTGGTAAATATTTTTTTTTAACATTTTAAAATGTTAAATGCTGGAGGGCTTGAATCTAAGTGTACAGCAGTGAGATGTGTTGGGATACCGCCAACTCCCATCTGCTTTGTGGCACCTACTGCTTTAACTTGTGAAGTGTGACAGTGTATTTTGCCAGTTGCATTTTGTATTGCACGTTCCCTATCCCATTATGAGCACAGCAGCAATGGCATCACGAGAAACTCGCCCACAAGTGAAACTTCTAAATACCTACAACCACTGCAGACATTCTTGCCTATACATCTTTTTGTTCCTTTTTCTTTAAGTTTCAATTAGTATATAAGTAGTGATGGCAGAAATAGTAATTTCTCTTTTTTTCGAGACAGAGGCTTACTCTGTCGTCCAGGCTGAAGTGCAATGGTGTAATCTAGGCTCATTGCAACCTCTGCCACTTGGGTTGAAGCGATTCTCCTGCCTCAGCCTCCCGAGTAGCTGGGATTACAGACGCCTGCCACCACACCCGGCTAAATTTTGTATTTTTAGTAGAGATGGGGTTTCACCATCTTGGTCAGGCTGGTATTGAACTCCTGACCCCGTGATCCACCCACCTCAGCCTCCCAAAGTGCTGGGATTACAGGGGTGAGCCTCCGCACCCGGCCAGCAATTTCTCTTCCTACTAGAGAAGTACATTGAGGCAAGTTCATCTGCATATAATACCAGGTGAAGTAAATGCTGAAGCACTGGGACACTTTAAATACTCTAATGTAACATCCTCTTGAAAGATTATAAATGCTATAATACTGTACAAACATGTATAATAATTATACTCTAGAATAGTACTATACTATCTAATATGGTATAGCTACTAGCAACACATGGCTCAAGTTAAATTCCATTTAAATTAAAAATTCAGCTTCTCAGTCACACTAGCCACACTTCAAGTGTCAGGTAGTCACATATGGCTATAGGCTAGCCTACTGTATTAGACAGCACTGCAGAAAGTTTTATTAGATAGTGCTACTCTGTAGTTTAGTATTTTACAAGAATAAGTTAACGAATGAAACAGGATGGACTCCTCTGTTTCCCAAGTATTAAGGCTCAAGCTTGACAGCAGCTGTCAGAAGGACTGTTGGTACACAACAGCCAACTTAACACAAAACCGATCAGTTACGGCCCACTGCTGCTTTATGAACACAGGTTTAGGGTATTTCCACTGATTGAATAATAAATACAGTATAAGAACGCTCTCAGAGCACAAGCCTACTAAGTTTTTACCCGAGTCCAACAGCAGGGACATGTCAAGGGTCTGTTTCTTTTCTTTTAGGAAACGTGGACCCCGTACCCGGGCAGGCTCAGTGCCTTGCTGCTCGCTAGTTGGTAAAAGGTGGGCCTCCTTTTTATTGTTTTCAGATTGGTCCAGATGTTACTTTGTGCACCGCTGCCCAAACAAACAGGTAGAAACTTACAGCTAAACACAAGCAACATTCCTTATTTCCTAGGATTGTTGCTTCTTGCCCCTTATCTTCTGCTATGAAAAGAGGCTGATTATTTGCCAAATTCTCCCATAAAACATAGAGGTCAAAATGTGCTTTGAACACACGGGCTGTTTCTTTAACACAAATGCACTACAGCATGGGAGTTTTGTTGAAAGAGAACAGTAAAGAGAATGAAATTTAATAGTCATTTGTATTTTTCATAGACACAGATGTAGGGTTTAGACAGTTCAGATGCAGACATGTTTATGTGAGGTGGAAGAGATCTTATTTCAGGGAAAAAGTAAATTCTCGTGAGTTGAATAAAGTTAGTTCATCACCATTAAAAAGACAGTTCAGTATCAGTATTTCAATTTATACAGCAAGGCATTTATGAAGCCAGAAAGGAAAAACATCTTAGTTTTTTAAATTGATTTCTTTTCTTTATGGAATTTGTAGTGTATGTGGAGAAAATTACAAGCTGTTACAGTGCTTTTGGAAACACTGCCCTTGGGTTCGTTCATTCTTTAGGTAAGGGAGAGCTGCAGGAGGATGGTGCTAAGATGTTGTATGAAGAGTTCCAGAGAGTGAAGGCGCAGACACGGCTGGGCACGAGACTGGACTTAGACACAGCTCACGTCTTCTGTCAGTGGCAGTCCTGTCTCCAGATGGGGCTGTATCTCAACCAGCTGCTGTCCACTCCTCTGCCAGAGCCAGACCTAACTCGGTAAGCACCATGGGAAACTTTAGTTCAGATGGAAGCACAGAAAAGTAAATATAGTACTTTCACTTACATTTAAAGCAACAAAGTTACTTTAAAAAAACTAATCTTAGTGTAATTGATTTTGAGTCAGTTATAGCTGAAGAGCTGGAACCAGGAAAAATATTAAATTATTTCCATATTCCCAAAGAATGTTTCCATAATTCAATTTTTAAAAATCAGTTCCTTTAAGTAAAACATTAATATATGGGGGAGGGGAGGTAATTGTTGGTAGGATTTAACTCACTCCTTTCCTCTTGGTCTTTAAATGTCACATTGGAGAGCCTTTTTCTGAGAACCCACCCTAGTGAGACATACTGTCTACCCTCCTTCACTCTAGTCCTGTTACTGTATTTTGTAACATCATTTCTTACCACCTGTCATATTGCTTACTCATTCACATATTTATTAAATGCCTACCCTGTGCTAGCACGTAGGGACAACAACAAAGTCTTTGCTCTAATGGAGGTTTCATTCTAAGTGGGATGATGAGTAGATGCCCAAGTGAACTTCACATAGGATGTTTGCTTTGCCAGGCAAGAAAGACATTAAGGGAATTGAATCTTTGTGCCACCAGTAATTATAATGTCTGTGGAGTTTAAGCTGGGTATGATAAAAAGAAATGACAACAGTGAGAAGAGTTGATAGGATCAATGGATTGGACATCTTGATAACTGTCCATCCCGGAGGTACCAGAGAGAGATTAAGATAAAAAGGAGATAATGTTTTGTCTCTCTCCACTCAGATATAAACTCTACGGGGCAGGGACTTGTCTATTTTATTCACTGTTGTAGCCCCAATGCCTTTAGTACTTTGAATGAGGATCTATGGAGGCATACAAAATATGGTGGGACTTCATATGTTTCAAGGTAGAAAGCCTCCAGCAGTAAACAGTGTTGTTGATACATCTCTGAGCCTTGTATCTGAGCTAACCCAAATAACACTAATTGGCCTTTGACCTGTGGATTCTTTATTTCTTTTGTTTAATAATTTAAGGTCATTCTTGAATGGATCCTCTTTAGTTACTACAAATCCTTTTAAAACAAAACAGGAAATGCAAAACCAAACAAACAGCTCTCTTAATAATGATTTAAACAGCAGGACTGTTCTTGAATCTCAGCATAACCAAAGCTTTTTACAGAGATTTTTACGCTGATTAAATAATGGTTCCAAACCATCATTGATAAAGTACCAGCCTTATCAGCTTTGTCCATAAGTAATATATTAAACTTGTGGATTCCAATTAATCCCATCTTCTTGTGAAGTAGGTTTTTAGTCCCAGTGAATGAACTTGCAAATGATGCCATTAAATTTTCTCATATTCTAAGGAACTGTTTGGTTTATCAGGGTTCTTTTAAATTTCTTTTCTTTAAAGTGTTAAAGATGCCTGCTTAGCCTGGGGCTAGCTGCAAAACCACTAAGCATTCATCATGTAATTTAGAATCTTTGTCGTAATGGCTCAGTTCCTTCCTTCAAAGAAAAGATTATTCCTAAGTAGTTTCAATAATATTACAGGGCAGTAAGAGCTCTGATTGTTTAGATGCATCTGTTGAAGCTATGTTAATGATAGTTATCCTGTTGCACTGAATTAGTTCTTTAACAACATACTTTTTCTCCCTTTGTTCAACAGACTGTACAGTGGAAGCCTGGTGCACGGACTATGCCAACAACTGCTAGCATCGACCTCTGTAGAAAGTCTCTTGAGCATGTGTCCTGAGGCTAAGCAACTTTATGAACATCTATTCAATGCCACAAGGTCATATGCCCCCGCTGAAATATTCCTACCGAAAGGTAAATCAAATTCGAAAAAAAAAAGGCAGAAGAAACAGGATACCAGCTGTTCTAAGAACAGAGAGAGAACCACTGCACACAGCAAGTGTTGGTACGAGGGAAGCAACCGGTTTGGGTTGTTAATGGTTGAAAACTTAGAGGAACATAGTGAGGCCTCCGACGTTGAATAAAACTCAGTTTGCATCAAACTAGATATATTTAATATAATCCTTACTTAAAATTCTTCTGGTACCTCCTTTGAAACAATTAACTTTTTCTTTAGGACTAACCTATTCAGGAATAAACATCACAATAGATAGATAATCTGAATTCCAAGACATTTTGTATTGTGCTTTTAATAAATATGACCTGATTTAAGAAACTTCTGTATTTCTAAATATGTTTGAAAGCCTGTTTATACTTCTTAAGTTCCATTTTAGTAAGTGAATGGTAACAGTCTGTACCAGGCGTCCCCGAACTTTTTACACGAGGGCCCTCAGACCGTTGGAGGGCCGCCACATACTGCGCTCCTCTCACTGACCACCAATGAAAGAGGTACCCCTTCCTGAAGTGTGGCGGGGGGCCGGATAAATGGCCTCAGGGGGCGACATGTGGCCCGCGGGCTGTAGTTTGGGGACGCCTGGTCTGTACCCTTTAAATGGAAGCAATTTAGCCAGCTACATTTTCAGAAAGAGTAGAAGTCCCACTCAGTTATTTCCTTTAAGTAGCAGCTGACTACCGTTTCAAAAATTTTTAAGAACAGTTTCCTCTTTGTACTTTAGTGTGAAATCTGGGCAATGAAAGGTATAAGTGAGGATTCCAGACAGAAAACTGTCTCTACTGAAAGTAAGTACTTAAGTCAGTGGGACCATAACAGCATTGAAGAGCACTTTAGGTACACTCCAAGTTTTAAAGCAGAAGTTGAAACTAAAGGTCCCTGCCAAATAAGAAACAGCATCCTGAGCTGCTAGACCTAGAAAAGGAGGAAACAGTGAGAAGTGAAACTATCATAGATATATGTAGCAATACCAGAATCTATGCCCTCTTTATACTATGTGTTTTGGCCCATTAATGAGATGTTATTTAATGAGTCATACCCAGCATTTTTTTAATGAAAAAATTAGAATGGAAAATAACAGATATACATATCATATATTAGGTGATTATGTAAAATATTACTCCTTACTGTGGACTATAGTGAAAAAGTTTAAAAGGTACTGCTCTGGAAAATACTGCCAAATAGAGGCTGCTAAAATTACAAATACCCAAAGATTTGCGAAGGTGCCAGCCAGTTCCAAATAAGAACTTAAAAAATAGCAAGTAGAATGAATGCACTGGGCAAGATCCGAAAATACACTTAACCTTAATTTTACTTGTATTCATACAAATTGTGTTCTTCCTTCTGTAGTCTCCCACTGGTAGATTCCATCAGGAAGAGCCCTAAAGGTGGCTTTAAAGCTGCCATTTTGAGCAGGCCTGGGTATGGTTCCTAATATCTGATAAACAATTCTCTTTACTTTCTGAGAAGTACCATGCTCTTAGAATAGTAAGCCCAGCATTAGCCAGTGTCAAACACACACCTGCCAACCGCTGACTGGTTCTCCATTTACAAAAGGTGAAACACATCATTTGCTAGAGGGTTCAACCCTAAAAACAACTTTGTTAAATAAGCGTTCTTGAAATCAGGAAATTAATATTTTTGGAGGACTGCATGGGAGTTCCTTAGTAAGGTTATTTTTATAATCTAACAACTGTCTCCAAAGAGATAGTTATTTCCCAGAAGAATCAAGAAAAGAACAGTCAAGTACATCTATTTTTGAGAAGAAATGTTACTGGACAATAATGTATCCTGTGGGGACTATAAACATGTAAGACCAGGGCTGGGCACGGTGGCTCACACCTGTAATACCAGCACTTTGGAAGGCTGAGGTGGGCGGATCATAGGAGGTCAGGAGTTCAAGACCAGCTTGGCCAACATGATGAAACCCCGTCTCTACTAAAAATACAAAAATTAGCCGGGCATCATGGTGGGCACCTGTAGTCCCAGCTACTCAGGAGGCTGAGGTAGGAGAATCACTTGAACCCGGGAGACTGAGGCTGCAGTGAGCCGAGATTGCACCACTGTACTCCAGCCTGGGTGACACAAGACTCGGTGTCAAAAAAAAAAAATAAGATCTTTGTTATACCAAAATCCTCTCTACCTTGATTCATGGAGTTTGAAGCTAATCTAGAAATTATATTAATATGAATGTTCCATTTCCTGGATTATCATCAACACTGCTTCTTAAAAACCACGGAATTACATTTATCATGTTTTTCTTTCATTAAAAGTGTCCTCCTCCAGCAAAAGTAATGTCAGGTTCCCTTCTCTAACCATGGCACTCAGGACAATTCAATTGAAATTATCAAGCCTTGCAGTAAAGGAGTCAAAGTCTAATAATGTCCCTTGACCCTGGTATATATCTTCTTCTACATGTATTAGATGAGAGGTCACAGGCACTTCACAGGAGTATGTAAGGTGGTTCACCGAAGAATTATGACATAACACTGAACTCCCTGCAGAAGTCATTTTTGTTTAAGCTGCTTGGGAGACAACACATAATGAAATGACAAGAGAACATTTTATTAGGTTGGTGAAAAAGAAACTATGGTTTTTACCATTATATAAAGCAGCTGTCAGATGCAAAATGGCAAAGTACAGACTGAATGCTACAATAAGGAGACAGCAGTCACCAGGATGAGGAGAGGATAGATCACAGGAAGATTCTCGGACCTGGCTTTTGGCCTGGCTTTAAATAATAGGAATTTTAAATTTCAGATCAGATATACATTAGGAACACCTGTATAGAAGAAGAATGTTATAATCCCATATTCCCTTTCCAAAATCTAGTTGTCTGTCTTGCAATCAAGTGATTAGGTCCTGCTCTTTCTAATTCAGTTTTAACAAATGAAATCTCACCTTAGGCTTTGGAAATCATCTTCAATTAGCAGCTCAAGTAACAAAAGGAACTCTGGACAGCTAAAATGAATAAATTTTAGAGATAAAGCTAGAGAGACAGGAAAACTTTTACTACAATCTAATCATCTTCTGTATTTAATGGTGATAAAATTATACTTGAAGTCTATTTTGTACAAGCACTTTTTGAGACACCTGGACCTTGAAAGTTTAATATACATCCTGTAAATAGAATCACAGGTCTTTCATGCCATTTGATGATGGGAAAAGAATTCACGTTAACTTTTTAGCATTTGAATTCGAATTTCAGAAGATAAAGACCATAGCTAAAAAGGCTTTAGAATTATCTTTTTCTCTTTTGTGTTCAAAAGGAAATAAATCAATGACTATGCCTCAGTTGCTCTACCTGCAAAATAAGGATTATAATAGTTCAAATTATTGTGTAAAGGATAAAATAGCATGCATTTTTAAGTTACTTAGCATAGTGCCTGATACTAAAAATGTGTTTTAAGTGACAGCCATTGTTATATTCACACATGAAAAACCAGAGCAAAGCAAGGAATGTGGATGAGTGTGTTAAGTAGCATAAAGATTAAGACAATGTGAGACCAGAGTTGCCACAGGTAAGAGCAGAATTTTGCAGAGGCAAAGGAGATCAACACTATCAAATATGGTGACGGGAGATGGGCCGGAATGTGAGAATGTTACAGCAACTCCAGCAGTAGCCACACTGGAAAGGGTAGAAAACTACCAAGAGAATTTCAATGGGCAGCCAAGCTCAACCTCAGAAAAGAATGAAAAAAAGACTAGAAGGAATTATCCCCATGTGAGTACCTGTATCCCCCTTCAGCCCCTTTTCCTATTTTCAAAGCATCTTCTATAGTGTTTTTAAAGCTCAGTTTGAAAGAGCCTGTGGCATGTTTAAAGACAGAAAAAGGTGAAGAACAGATATTACCATTTCCTAGGAATTTCCTCTTCCTTCAACTACCAGGGTTATTAACTTGGCCCTGGTTATAACCATAACCATAACCATAACCATAACCATAACCATAACCATAACCACTCCATAATCCTAAGGAGACCAAACCCAGTTTTCTCCCTAGCAAGGTTGCCCGATTTCACTGGGTGCTGCTTTCTACCACATGCTGTTTGGCTGGCTGGCATACCATGAATCTGACCAACACTTAGAAAGCAGTCACTACCAAGATTAGAAGAAAAAAGTTCATTTCCATAAAAGAATAAACTTTCAGTAGTGCTTGACTCAAAATGTGACATTGTATTTTCAGTGAGATAGATGTGGGGTACTTGGTATTTATCTCATAATGCCGTTTAATGACACATTTCAGTCATCACAGCTGAAAGCGATGCTGCATCCTGTACCAATTTGAGATTAACTACTACTCTTGGACAAATGTATTAAAAACATGCCACCCTACTTTCAGCAACAGCTTTCTGAGCCATACAGGATAAGGTGCTTTTGGATTTCTTTCCAGAGGTGTGAATAATGCTAAATTCAAGTCCATCCAGCTATAAAAATTTTAAGATGAGCACTTCATGTTGAGGAAGAAAGTTTTAAAATTCAAAAAGCATGACTGCACCAGGCCATATACCAGTCTGTTAAAATGGGAGAAATAAATGAATAATACATGAAAGAAGTATTTCCAGTTACTTTCACTGGATTCTGTTTTTAGGGAGAGAAATCAAATTAAAAATGAACATGTTGCAATGCACATTCAATCTCTTCTATTCCTGCTACTCTTGATAATATTCCATTTATTTGATTAAAATAGCTATGTCTTTCTCTCAAAATATAAATATATTTTAGTATTTATGTATAAATGCACATAGTCAACATTTGGTATCTGTGGGGACTATGCAAGTATGTTTTGGTTTAGGATGTTCTGAGAAAATGAATTAGTGAGTTTATTTTTCCCCTAAGCCTGAGCTGTTACGATATTTTGGTTTCTACTATTACTAAATGTCTTCTCTAAGCAAGGTAATATCCTTTGGCCTATTCGGATATGTCTTCTCTACGCAAGGTAATATCCTTTGGCCTATTCGGATTAAGTTTATTTCTCTGGGTTTGTACAACCAATAGGAGGGAAACCTCTACTTCTCTTGTGCATCCCAGAGGGCAGGAGTGAGCCCATCAACCAGACAGGAGCAGACTGCTTCACATGGATAAAAAACATGGGTGAGCAGAGAGAGAGAGAAGGGAAGCACATTTAAGATGGGACAGCAAATCACAATACTCCACCTGCTATAAGAAGAAGTCTTGATAATGAGATGGGACTGATGAACAGCTGGCATGTCTTTCTGGTTGATCATGTTCTAACAACAGTCTGAGACACTGACTTTCACTACATGGGAGCCTTGGTGGAGACTCAGAGTAGTTACTGACATCAAATTGGCTACCAAGTGCATC